TTGTCTTCAAAATAAGGGTGCGTCTTATATTCCGAAAAATACGGTAGGTTTTTTTATATTGTATAATAACACCTAAAAAACAAAACACTTATTTAGAGACACCTAACGGTGTTTACTGTAATATGACTAATACTTTTGTGAATAGAAAGTAACAAAAATCTTTTAATCACTTTTGTTTACTTCTATATGAATTCCTTATTAACACGGTAAGACTAATTGGTAATAAATATTGAAGTATGTTTTATTTCTCACCTCTACCAAACACTGCTTAAACGTATTTACAAACATACAATATTATTTGAAAAAAAAATATTGTTTCAACTAGAGTGATAATAATGTAAGGTATTTCAACAGTACTTAAATTAGATTCAGCGATTATGTTCGTATAGTTTTTCATTAAGAACGAAATATAGTAAAATAAGCTAAACATTTTTATGTTGTCTAGTGGTAAGGATACCTGGCTTTCACCCAGGAGACCCGGTTCGATTCACAGCTTGGGAAAATAATTTTCATTTGCAAAAAAATTTTTATATGGAAAATGATAATAATCGAAGAAAGTTTTACAGTAAATTAGAGAAATACGTGAAATTTAATTGGTGTTTTGATGTTCAGATCGTTCTATTTCACTGTTGTAGGGTAGAAAATATCGTAAGTTTGCCCAGCTGATGCAAAAATGCATTATAATCATTGTAAGTGGTATTTTTATTCTGCAAGCCATGGGTTTGCACTGCTGGGATAGAATGACTGTCTGTACTTTTATTGATACTGTTTTTAAAATTCACATAAGTTTTTATCGGTTGTTCATAGTAAAATGTGAAAACTAATATTTTATTCTGATTGTTTAAAATCAATTTACTTAAATAAAAATTGGCAATAGTTACCATGGTGAAATTCTATGTTACTTTAAAAGTCTACATAGCTCCTGAATTAAAATACGATAGAGAAAGATAATATAGAAATCTACATAGTTCCTGAATGAATATACGGAACACAAACTTAAAATAATTATTGTTTTTTAAGTTTTAAAATTAAAATGCTTTTGTCATTTTCGCATATAGAAGTAAACATGGAATAAAGATGCACTTTTGAAGCAGAATATTTAATACCCTAATTTAATTGTACCATTAAAGTTAGCTAATGCTATAAATATGCATGGGTTGTTAAATATTTATCTGTTGTATTATACTACAAAGACAGAAGAATCGCAGACGAGAAGAACGTCATCTGACCAATATATTAAAAAGCCAGTGTGTGTGTCACGTCATACCACGCTTGATTTCTCGAAATAGGAAGAGTCATAAAAGCCAAAATGCATTTATCCAGATAGAATAGTTCGATTACTGTCTGTCCATTACGATTTTAGTGATGGGGCTGTGAGGAAAGTTACCATGAAACCTTATAAGTTTAGTGAATGTTGGAATCACCTAGCCTAGAGCTAAGTGCATAAAATTTATCCCGAAAGTAAACAAATTGATTCAATTTTAAACTTAAATCGTTCCCGAATTAAACTATTTTATGTTATATGGCCAACGTTTTTAATAAAAAAACAACAAACAGACCTCTTTAATCAATGGAGACTCTAAATTAAAAAAATCAAGAAGTATTTTTCCAGGTTTGTTGTCTATACATTTCATTTTATACTTTCAGCACATAGATTAACAATATTAGGTTATACTTTTGTTGTAACCAAAACGTACTAGCTTTTCTATATATTAGAATTTGTTAATCTAACTGATTTTTACCAATAACACAGGCATGCTATGATTTTATTGTCTTGAAATTTTTACATGTTCTACAGTGATTCCTGTACGCTGAATCCGAAAATGATACCCATTTTTCTCCATCACATACAGATTTTTCACGAAACGTCATATGTGCTTTTACATAAGTGAATCATTTTCATTGAAATCGGGTCACATTTTATTATGCTTAAAATGTTGACAACCACTGGCTATAGATTTCTATAGACCAATCGCGACGTGAGAGTGTATTCCATCGTTCTACAACCCAAGTGAAACACACCGCTAGTACGTAAACGATGAACAGGCCGCATGACGTGTCATTTATGAATAGTATTTGATTGTGCGTGCTCTTTGACATTATTTTTTATTTTCAATATTATTGATTCGTCGCTATGGCAACAAGAGGTTGTGTAAATGACCGAAACATATTCTGCTATTTTTGTTGTAAAGAAACAAAGGCAAAACATTACAGAATTTGTATTACGCTTATTTTGGAAAAAAACTTGGGGACCAAGACAAATCATGGGCTCCGCACAACGTTTGCACCATTTGTGTCGAAGAATTGAGACAATGGACTAAAGATAAGAAAAAGTCTTTGCCTTTTGGATTTCCAACCACGAAGATGACTGCTATTTTTCCTCGTGTAATGTACAAGGTTACAACACTCGAAATAAAAAGGAAATTTCTTATCCGAACATTCAATCTGCTGTAAGACCCGTTGCTCATGGACCTGATTGTACCTGTATCTACTCCTCTCTTGATACAGTTTCATATGATTCCGAATCTGATGTCAATAGAAATGACGATAGGGATTGTTTTCAACATGAAACATCTGGTGAACCACAACTTTTCAAGGTGAACTAAATGGCTTGGTGAGAGATTTGGGCCTTCCAAAGGATTCTTCAGAGATTTTGGGGTCCAGACTTTGGGCTAAGAACTTACTTTCTCCGAATGAGCAATAACAACAGATGCATATATGTCACCATTGTGAAGGAGAACGACTTTTGCTTTTGGAGGAATCAATGAGCAATCTTCAATCACTGCAACTCTTAGCATTGGTATTAATTCAGCAATATTGTTGTAATTAACCGGTGAACCTTCTTGCGATTTATGTACCAGTAAAATGATGTCTCTAGTTCACTTGAAGGAAACATACGAAAATATCGAACTTCTTCTTAATAAGGTCAAATATAAAGAACATGGTTGGCTACTTTGTGAAGACTTAAAAGTCCTTTGTATGTTGTTGGGTCAACAATCCGGTTATACAAAGTTTCTATGTTTTTTTGTGTGTATGAGACAGCAGAGCATGAAATCAGCACTAGATAAAGAAGCAATGGCCGTGCAGAGTCAGTCTGATACCAGGATCGAAAAACGTTGAACGTAAAAGTTTCGTTGACACAAAGAAAGTCCTATTATCACCACTTCACATAAAACTGGGTTTGACGAAACAGTTTGTAAAGACCTTAGAAAAGATGGCGACTGTTTCAAGTATCTATGTGGGCAATTCCCAGCTCTTTCAGAAGCTAAACTTAAAGAAGGAATTTTTGTTGGACCACAGATTAGGAAATTGACTTTGGATGAACAATTCGAAAGGACAATGAGGAAAGTTGAAAAGAAGCGTGGATTGCCTTTAGAGATGTTATTGACAAATTTTTAGGAAACAACAAGGACCCAATTATTGTCAATAACATGTTCGATAAATTCAAAGAGTTGGGTTTTAATATGAGCTTGAAAGTTCATTTCTGACACTCACATATTGACTACTT